AAATTATTGGGATGTGTTCTCTTTCCCTCTTCTACTCCCCTCTTTGTAGAATTGGTATTATTTCCTCAAATGTGAGATAGAATTAATCAATGAAGCCATCTGACCTGGAATACTCTCTGTGAGAGGTTTTTACATTACAAAGTCCATTTCTTTCTTTGATTCAGGTATCATCCCAAATCAGTTTTGATCATTTTAATCTCTCAAGGAACGTTTCTCTTTTTATATATTATTTATTTACTTATTTGAGACAGGGTCTTGCTATGTTGCCCAGGTTGGAGTGCAGTGGCTATTCACAGGCGCAATCCCACTACTGATCAGCAGGGGAGCTTTGACCTGCTCTATATCTGACCTGGGCTGGTTCACTCCTCCTTAGGCAACCTGGTGGCTCCCTGCTCCCAGGGAGGTCACCGTATTGATGCCGAACTTAGTGCGTACACCCGATCAGCATAGTGCACTACTTGTAGCCCAGAACTCCTGGACTCAAGTGATCCTCCTGTCTCAGCCTCCAGAATAGCTGGGACTAGAGGCACGTGCCACCATGCCCGCCTCAAGGAATGTTTCTACTTCATATTGTTAAAAGAAAAACTTAAGACAAACTAAACTTACCAGTTTATTTGAACAAAGAACAATTAATGAATCTGACAACACTCAAGACAACAAGAGGTGCAGAGAGCTCCACCCCAGAATGTGGGCAGGTACTATTTATACATAGAAACAAGAAATACAAAAACATCTTGAATGGTTACTGCTCCTCATTTGTTCATTTGTACATTTTTACTATTTCATGCTCTTTTCATCTTAATATCTAGAGAGCACTCAGAAAGAAAGAAAATTGTTACTCAAATAAGATATTTTTCTTGGTCAGGCACAGTGACTCACGCCTGTAATCTTAGCACGCTGGGAGGCTGAAGTAGGAGGATTGCTTCAGGTCAGGAGTTCAAGACCAGCCTGAGCAAGAATGAAACCCCCATCTCTGCAAGCAAAATAGAAAAATAAGCCAGGCATGGTGGCACATAGTAGCCTCAGCTGCTTGGGAGGCTGAGGCAGGAGGGTCTCTGGAACCCAGGAGTTTGAGGTTTTAGTGAACTAGCCTGATGCCACTGCATTCAAGCACAGGCAACAGAGTAAGAATCTGTCTCAAAAATGTTTTTTTTTCTTCAAAATCAGCACTGTTCTTCAAAAACCTTTGATAAAAGCTTTGCTGGCGGAACCTATGGCTCAAAAGAGTAGGGCACCAGCCCCATATACCGGAGGTGGCAGGTTCAAACCCGGCCCCAGCCAAAAACTGCAAAAAAGAAAAATAAAAAAGCTTTGCTAGTGATGATTTAAGTTCTCTCATATAGAGTAACTATAGCAGGTAGAAACTAGAACGGATGGGGTGGCTTCTTCTTTCTTGGCCCTCAGTTGATGGTGTAAAAAAAAACTGCATGGGAATCAATATGGTTATAATCCAGCCTAGGGAAAGAAACCCAAGGTCGTGAGTAGAATCCATATCTGCCTGAAGTCTTAACCCAGACAGACCAAATCTCTCCCTCAGCGAGTCTGATCACTCAGTCTTCAAGGTACATCCAACAAAAGCTTCATCCAAGTAACATTTCCTCCAACATCCTCTCCCCACAGCACCCTATCCTGTAGTTAGGGGAGAACCCACGGCTGAGTCAATATTCTCAACTCCTTCCATCCAGCTGGGATCAGGACCTTCAGCCACTCCACCCACAGCACAGCTTAAAACCACACCTTTTTTTCTTTTTAATTTATTGTTGGGGATTCATTGAGGGTACAAGAAACCAGGTTATACTGATTGCATTTATTAGGTAAAGACGCTCTTAGAATTGTGTCTTGCCCCTAAAAGGTGTGGCACACACCAAGACCCCACCCCCTCACTCCTTCTTTCCCTCTCTGCTCTTCCCTTCCCCCACCCAACCCCCACCATGTCATTAATTGTCATTACTTGTCCTCATAGCAAAACTTAGTACATAGGAATTCATGCTTCTCCATTCTTATGATGCTTTACTAAGAATAATGTGTTCCACTTCCAACCAGGTTAATAGAAAGGCTGTAAAGTCTCAATTTTTTTTAAATGGCTGAATAGTATTCCGTAGTGTACGTATGCCACAGCTTGTTAATCCATTCCTGGGTTGGTGGGCATTTAGGCTGTTTCCACATTTTGGCGATTGTAAATTGAGGTGCAATAAACAGTCTAGTGCAAGTATCCTTATGATAAAAGGATTTTTTTACTTCTGGGTAAAAAATCCCAGTGATGGGATTGCAGGATCAAATGGGAGGTCTAGCCTGAGTTCTTTGAGGGTTCTCCATACTTCCTTCCAAAAAGGTTGTATGAGTTTGCAGTCCCACCAGCAGTGTAAAAGGGTTCCCTTCTCTCCACATCCACGCCAGCATCTGCAGTTTTGAGATTTTGTGATGTGGGACCTTTATTTTTTTTTTTAAAGTATTATATGTGACCTGGTCCTAGACTTTTAGCAAGAAAAACTCAGACTCTCACAGCTTTGAAATATTGAAAAATTTATTGGTCTCAGGGAGGGAGAAGTAAAGTTTTTTGAAGAAGAACAGGTTGAAGCCCAGTGAAGGTGTGACTCTACACCAGTGCTACAAAAGCATCAGTATTTATTTATTACCTTCTATTTGTCAGGAACTACACTAAGGGCTGAGTGCTTTAAGGTAAAAAAGAAGGATAAAGGCTGGGCATCTGAGCACTCCGGAAGGCCCAGACAGGAGGATCCCTTAAGCTCAGGAGTTTGAGACCAGCCTGAGCAAGAGTGATACTCTTTCTGTACAAAAGAAAGAAGGAAGGAAGGAAGGAAGGAAGGAAGGACGGAAGGAAAGAAAAACTGGGTATTGTGGTGGGTGCCTGTAGTCGCAGGAGGCTGAAACAGGAGGATGGATTGAGTCCAGGAATTTGAGGTTGTAGTGAGCTATGAAAATGCCACAAAATTCTAGCCAGGGCAATAGAGCAAAACTCCGTCAAAAAAAAAAAAAAAAAAGAAAGGAGAAGAAAAGAAACAAAAAAACCAAGGACAGAACTGGAAGATCAGCGATTAAGTCAGCCATCAGCCACTGGGGTAGAGAGCACATGCACTGAGAAGGGAAGCTGAGACTGGGAGTTCATAGGCAGCTGGAATTCAAATCTCTCCCATGTCCTCTTCTTTTCAGGAATTTTCTCACCTGCAGCAAGACACACACAATTACTTTCATCCCTGTATTCAGGACTTGAAACTCAGACCTACCTTCCCCACACCCTTTATACCTGACCCCCCATTTCTCTGCCCTATTCAGGTCCCAAGGAGAAGGTGGTCACCCTGCATGTTCCCTGGCCCTCCAGGTGAACAACAGTTAGAAGTCATACTCTAAAGGGATCAAATTTCATTCTCAAACCCCAGCTGACTTTGGGGGATTCCACATGCTTCAGTCTCCAAAATATCCTGAGAAGGGGAAGAACTACATTACTGAAGCCAAGGAAGAATCTTAGCTCCAAAATGATGGCAATGAAGAAAGGATAATTGCTCATGTTGTATAAAACTGCTCTGAAAAGATTCCAAAACCAAGGTATATTTTCTCATAAGACCTCAGATTAACATGACCCTGCTCAGTACTCCCTCCCTCCTGAAAGTCTTTACTTCCTTGGCTTATCTAATAACATATTCTCCTAATTCTTCTGCCTCTCTACTTTTTCTACATTTTCTTTGAATACTTCTCTTTTAATATTTTGTTAATCATGTATTTTTGCATCAATTTTGATTTTTAAGATATTTCATTAAAATGTGATTTATTTTGATTACTGTGAAATTTCAGGTGCTACTAAAGAAAATACAGCCATTCCGGTGTACAGATGGGCAGTACTTAGTCAACTTAAGGATTTGCATTCTCAGTGACCCTGCAACCTCTTTCAAGGCATATACATTCCAGAGAACACAAGCATTGCGTGCAATAGCGGAGAACCAGAGATGATCCAGGTATCCCAGCGGGAATTCAGACACACGGATGTATAGAGTACTATAGAACAGTTGGAAGCAATAAACCAGATGTACAAAATTAGGTCTATAATATAATTCCATTTTGGTTTATTAAAAATACATGTATGTTAAACAATAGTATGTGTTATATAGGATATATGCAAATAAAAGGAAGCTCATCATATCTATTAGAATGTTTAAACAGGAGGTAGGCATAAAAGGTTAAATATGAGAATAAAGACTAGAGCTAAAGGGAACAAATAAAGCCTGGAGGAACCCATGATGATGGGAGGCATGAACTGAGTAGCATGATTGACTTAATCCTTTGCACCTGAGGGCCAGCACAAATAATAATGATGATGAATTAGATGTCTTCATGGATAGAAAACTATGGGATCCCAGAAGGGCAATTTTTGTATAACTTTGTCATTCAGCGAGTCCAAGCAGAGAAAGCAAACAGCTTATAGGCACTTATCATACTGTGCTGTAATTACGTATAGAAATGTACACACGTATTATGTACAGAAATATGGATCTGGCTTCAGTACTAGACTCTGGGTTCTTGAAGAGTCTGGACTTGGTCTTTTTCTTTTTCTTCCTAGAAGACCAAGTGTTTAGATCAGGGGTTAAGCAAACAATCTTGGATCCAGACTTTCCGGATTGGAACACTAACTCCACTGCTTCCTAGCTGTGTAACCTTGGTCAAATTGCTTAATGTCTCTGTGTATGTACAAAGATGAAGTATCGTTCATGTAAAATGGTGACAATAATAGTACCTACCTCACAGAGTATTTGTGAGGATAAAATGAGTCAATAAGTGTAAGTTCTCAGAACAGTGCCTGAACATGTTAAGTACTCAGTAAATTACTGATGTAGTTGTTGGGCAGCTCAATGCTTTTAACTCACTGAGATAAACGTAGTTATCAAATTGACTATTTCCGTCCTTCCTTATACAGCACAGATCCTAGGCTCCCTCCTCTTTTCCTCTGACTGTATCCTAAGATCACCCCCCTCCAGCTTCACAATGACTCACAAGGAACCCTGGGCGCGGGGGTCACGACCAGAACGCAGAGCCTTTACGATGAGGATGATGCCAGCAATGATGCCGGCCAGGCCCAGTATCAGGCCCAGGGCACAGAGCACAGTCTCTGTTGTCTCAGGCATCTGGATGGGCTCCTGGGCCTCTGCCGGAAGAATGAAGAGTTGGGGTAAGAAGGAGCAGTGAGGGTGGGGCTGGCTTGGGATGTGTGTGGGGGTTGAAGGTTATGGGTCAGTTGACAGCAGGTTCACACAACGAAAGCAGAGACCCGGTGAGTGGGGAAAGCTGATGCAGAGGGCACCTGGTCCTGGGAGCAGAGGGTTTCGGGGAGATTACGCAGAGGTTAGACTCCATACCCCAGTGTCTGAGGAAGGGCTCGTCCAGGCCCCAGTGCTCCACCTTGCAGTCATAGACGTCGTCGGCCAAGGGCACGAAGGTCAGGTAGTGGAACTTGTGGAAGTTGTAGTCTGTTCTGGGCAGGAAGAGGCTCTCCCCGACGCCCTGGGTGACCGGCTGTCCATTGCGCAGCCACGTGACGTTAAGCACCGGTGGGAAGAACTTGTTGATGTGGCAGATGAGGGTGTTGGGCTGGCCCAGCTCCACGGGCTCCTTGGGAAACACAGTCACCTCAGGGGGCTCTGGGAGGAAACAGGACCCAATGAGTCTCCTGTTCTGGGACGAAGCACAGAAGCATTACCTTTGGAGTGTCATCTACCTTAGGGTCAGACTTTATGGTACCTCTGGGTTTCAGAATCAGAGCCAGGAGTCTCATCCCACTGACCACCCTCACTCAGCTCAGCCTTTCTGGTGTGTGAGAAGGAATGATGAAGCCCCTGGCTGTACTGGAATAAGCCAGTGGCCACTCAAGGGAGGATTGCCCAGCAGAAGGCCTCTGGTTCTCCCACTCTGGGTATGGCAGGGGCCCTCCTATCCCTTTTCAGCTGGGCTGTACAGAGGAAGAAGCAAAGATGGGCAGTACCATTGGTGTCTTGGCTGTGGTTGGAATGCCGGATCATGATATTCAAGTTGTCTTTCATTATAGCGATGTTAGCCAGCCCACCCTGAGCCTCAAAGGAAAAGGCTTGGGCAAACAATGGCAGATGCCAGACCGTCTCCTTCTTGTCCAGATCCACATAGAACATCTCATCCTCATCGAACTCAAACATATACTCCCCTGATGGTCTGTGAGTCTGTACAAACTCAAAGTAAGTTGACACGTGGTCTGCTGTATAGAGAAAGTAAAGAAAAATGTGTAAGTATATGTACATGGTGGAGGCCAGTGAACGAATAAAAATTAATGAACATAAAAAGGCAAAAGGAATGAGGTCAAAGGATGGGCATATGGGGGAAGAAGGAGTAACACCAAAAAGGCGGTAAGGCAGAGCAGACAAGAGCAGTTATAAAAGGAAAGCAGGGAGGAACAAAACGAGAATGTTATCACTGAGAAGTCGAGGTGCTTTCTGGTCTTCAGAAGCCTAGGCATCCTGACTCTACAGAAATAGTAATAATATCAATAACAAGTAACATTTGTTGAACACTTATTAGTGCCAGGCATTGTTCTAAACACTTCACATATTTCACTCATTTAATTGTCTCTATGACTCTGTGAAGCAAATATGTAATATACTGTTTTACAGATAGGAAATGCAAAGAAGTTAAGCAACTTGCTTAAGTTTACACAGCTATTGGTGGAACTAGTAGAGAAATTTTTGTCTCCCTAAAAACTCTCAATTCTTCTAGGACCACAGGTGTAAAATTATTTTTAGAGTTATAGGAACAGGGGAGCAGAAATTTCATTTTTCTTGTTACAGAAAAGGGAGAAAAAAAGTAGGAAATTGCAAGGGAGGAGAAAATACCCTTCAAATTTAAGTGCTCTTTGAACATGAAACTGTAGAATGTGTAGCTTTGTTTTTTTGGGGGGTGGGGGGTGGCTTTTTTTTTTATACAGAGTCCCACTATGTCGCCCTTAGTAAAGTGCTATGGCGTCACAACTCACAGCAACCTCAAATTCTTGGGCTTAAGTGATTCTCTTGCCTCAGCCTCCCAAGTAGCTGGGACTACAGGCACCTGCCACCACACCCAGCTATTTTTTGGTTGTAGTTGTCACTGTTGTTTGGCGGGCCCAGGCTGGACTTGAACCCACCAGCTCCAGTGTATGTGGCTGGCACCCTAGCTGCTTGAGCCATAGATGCCAAGCCAGAATGTGTAGCTTTGTTAATAATAGTTTTCATTTTAGGCATACTAAAGTCAAGAGTATAGTACAATCATTTCACCATTGGCTCCATACTTTTTTTATTTTTGTTTTTGATGGAACTGTAAATTGTTGCTGAGTTTGAAACACCTGTGGGCTTTAATTTATTTTGTTTCTTAGTATGTTTTAATTTGCAAGAAGAAGCAAAAAGGATAAAAGCAAATATTGTCATTAAATAAAGCAATGAATATGTGAGAGCTTCTGCTTTAGAATAATAGATGAATAAGACTGAAAAGGAAAATCAGGGCTTTTCTAGCCTAACCAGCTACTAACTCATGGATTTCCCTGTGAGTCTGCAGCTCTGACATGTAGGACCCCCCTCTAAATGTCTTGTGCTTGGCCATTTATAGTGAGGGAAACAAGATTTTTTCACAAGGATACTTAGGGTCCTTAGTTTACAGGAATCATCTTCAGAAAAGAAAGTAAAATAAGAAGAAACAAAACCCTTTAAGAATTATTGAGAACTCAAGTTCTTACTACATGAATGTAGTTAGCACTTTTTTTGAAGTTTTAAAACAGATTTACAAATTCTGGGGTCTAAAGATCAGCCAAGTATGAGATATTATTTTCCTTCAGATATCATTTTAATTCAGACAAAAAAAATGTATTAAAAGCCTACCATATGTCAGACAGATGTTAAATATTCAAATAAAAATAATACATGGTTCTTGTCCTCAAGATGCTCATAGGCCACAGGAGACATGCAAGTGACAGGGCAACAGCAGACACAATTTGATAAGTGCAGAAATAGTGTGATGTACAAGATGCTATCAGATAAGGCATTAGGAAAAACTTCCTGGAGAACAGATGGCTTGAATTTAGGTAGTCAGAAAACAGAGGAAAAGCCATTTCTCACATAGGGGAAGAATGTTTAAAACACATGACAAATTTGGAGAATCACGGATACTTCAGTAAGACCAGAGCTGGCTGCAGATGTGGAACAGCAGCAGGAGATGAGAAGAAATAGGCAGAATCTAGATCATGGCAGGCCTTATATGCAAAGCTGAGGAACTTAAACACTATCCTGGAAGTCACAGAGAATTATTGAAGGATTTTAAGCAGGAGAGTGACAGCAGATTTGCAAATTAGGAAGATCACTGTGGCCACAGTGTGCAGCACAAATGGGAGAAGCTAGTTCAAGAGGCAAGACCAATAGTCAATAGTACCTGAAAACTGAGAGAGAGAAGTGCGCACAGCAGCAGAAGGAAGACAGAAGAGGAATCTGATTGATGGTAAACAGGGACCTTTTAGGAATTGGTAAGTGATGGAGGCAGTAAGAAAGTTGGAAAACTCCCAAATAACTTTCTTATTCCTAGAAAGGCCTGTGCAGTCATATCTCTCTCTCTCTCTCTCATCTTCCTCCTCTCATGTCTCCCCTCTCTAAATAATTTATATTGTGTACAACATGTTATTTTGAAATATATATATCGATGAATGGCTAAATCAAGCTAATTAACATATGCGTTACCTCAGTTATTTTTTGTGGTGAGAACATTTAAAATCCACTCTCTTGTTTGTATCAGAATGTTTATTGCAGCCCAATTCATAATTGCCAGGTCATGGAAGAAGCCCAAGTGCCCATCAATCCACGAATGGATCAATAAACTGTGGTATATGTACACCATGGAATACTACGCAGCCCTAAAGAAAAATGAAGACTTTACCTCCTTCATGTTTACATGGATGGAACTGGAAAATGTTCTTCTTAGCAAAGTATCACAGGAATGGAAAAAAAAGTATCCAATGTACACAGCCCTTTTATGAAACTAATTTATAGCTCTCAAATGAAAGATACAACTTAATTCTAGCCCAAGAATATGGGGAGGGAGTGAGGAAGGGGAGGGGAGAAGGGCGGCTGGGTGGTGGGAGGGTGACCGGAAAGATCACCTTTATTTCTGTCTACCAAGGGTACAAGTGAACTTTTCTAGAACTAGAATATAAATGTTTTGACACAATGACTATGCAAATGACATGAAATTTATGTGAACCAGCTTGATGAAAGTATTTCAAAATGTATATGAAAACACTACACTGTACCCCATGTTTGCATTAATGTATACAGCTGTCATTTAATAAAAAAAATAAAATAAAATAAATAAAATCCACTCTCTTAGAAATTTTCTAGAATACAATATATTGTTATTAACCGTGCCTACAATAGAACTATTGAAGTGAAATGTTATCTCCTTTAGACCAACATCTCCCCAACCAAATACAATCATCTTGATTCCATTAATGTAAAGAGTATTAGTAGAAGACAGTCTGTTTGGGAGAAAATACTGAGTTCAGTGTGGGACATACTGTATTCAGAATACCCAAAAGTCACACACGAACAGTAGTATATGATGATTGATCTCAGGACAGGGTTTTGGCCCAAAGAACTGAGAGTCATAAGTGGTGGGTAAAGGCTAGGTGAGATTTTCTAGGAAGATAGCAAGAAATAAGAAATAAGAATTGCAGAGAGCTGAGGGTATACTCAGGGAAACATGATAATTAAGAGGCATTTTCAAAGGAGAACAGGAGAATCCAGAAAACGCAGGCAAAGGACAGAGTAAGCTAAAAAAGGATCTTTTTTAAAAAGTTCCAATAAGAAAAAACTAAATTACAATGCAAATATTATCAAGAACTCAAGTCTGAGAGACACTGTAAAGTACCCAGGGGATTTGATCTTACATAGAGGTTCCTGACAGCAAAGACAAGGGTATCCTCAGTACTGTATTGGAGACAAAAATCAGAAGCTTAGCTATGAAGGTAAGAACACAAAGAGAGTATTTCTAGGGTAGGATACAGAGTGAAGGCAAAGCTATTTTTTATTCGTTGATACATATTATGTTTTTAAGATAAAGAATATATTTATAGGTGGGCAGTGCCTGTGGCTTAAAGGAGTAGAGTGCCATATGCTGGAGGTGGTGGGTTCAAGAACTGCTTTAAAAAAAAAAAGAAAAGAATATGTTTATAGGTTAAGAGAGTAAGAACCAGTAGGGAGGGAGGCACTACAGATACAGCTGAGTTAATTAGTAATATCTGCCAAGAATCCTAAAAAGTATTTATCTGTGTATCTGTGTGAAGATATGTTCATCATGGTATATATGCATATTATAATACAAAGTGACCATCAACAGGGCAATGGGTATTTCTGGGTCTCCCTGACCTCACCTCCTCTTTACTACTAAGCACCTTTAGACATCACACCTTAAATAAAACTGCAGGGGGCAGAGTGCATCTTTATGTTTTGAATTCTAATCCTTCACATCACTGGATTTGTGAATGACAGTATCATACACAGGCTTGACACTCCTGGATGTCAGCCACAGGATTTAAAATACTGGCTGAGTCCTCATGGTTAAAACTCTAGGCTGTCCAACGATCCCCTGGGTCTCTCAAGACCTGAATCAGTGTGATAACAAAAACAGGCAACACTGCTGTCTTGAGAGAGAAAGCTTGTAAACAATCCACGAAGACCCAGGAAGGGTTCTAGGTTCCTGGGAGACAGAAGAGACATAGGAACACTCTTAGCACCTGTTCTCCTGGGTTCCAACACACAGACCCACACTTCTGGTTCTCCCCAGAAGCAGCCATACAGGCTGGGTGCAGTGGCTCACACCTGTATTCCTACCACTCTGGAAGCTGAGGCAGATGGATTAGTTGAGCTCACAAGTTCCAGACCAGCCTGAGCCAAAGTGAGACCCTGTCTCTACTAAAAAATAGAAAAACTAAGGCAAGAGGATTGCTTGAACCCAAGAGTTTGAGGTTGCTGTGAGCTACAATGCCACAGCAGTCTACCAAAGTGACAAAGTGAGACTCTGTCTCAAAAGAAGAAGAAGGAGGAGGAGGAGGAGTAGAAGCTCCACACAGAGCAGAGGCTGCAGATCCAGGAGAGAAAGAGAGGGGTGGGGGCTCTGCAGGGTTCAGTTAGAAAGTCACTGTGTACAGAAACCTGGGGAGTGCAGAGTATGGTCATCAAAATGGGTCTGGACTTAAAACTTGGCTCTTTGACTTGGTGTATACCTTAGAAAATATAGTAATCTTTCTGAGTTTCCATTTTTTCACCTCTAAATTAAACATAATAATATCTTCATTGAAGATGCTTGTGAGATGAGATTGAGAAAAATACTTAAATAGGTGTCTAGTAAACTATGGCTGCTATTGCTATTATTCTCACTGGAGTGAAAAGGAACAACAGTGAACCCCCACACTAGGGAAAGAAGAGAGAAAATGGACAAACAGGAAAATAGGTCAATGAGTCCCTAAAATCTCTCTCTAATTCCTGATACACTTCACAGTAGCCGCCCCCATCTGTCCCATCCTCCCAGTACTCACCCTTGATGGCCCCAGCTCCTTGGAGACTCAGCAGGAAAGCCAAGCAGAGGGCTCTCAGGATCACAGCTCTGGTCTGGAACATTCTGTCTTCAGGGAAGACAGGGGGTCTGGAGTTGACAATTGTGAGCAGAGGCAGGCTGGGGGTAGACAAGCTCTGAAGTTGTGCTCTTCTATACCTGAAAATGGCCAAAATGGGTGGAGAGGAAACAGCATGGCCAGGCTTAACCAATCAGAGAAGTAAGAGAACTGACATCCTCTGTTGTTGGGTAAAGCCAACATTGGAAGGGCTGGAGACTAAATGGGAGGATTTTCAGGGACCAGCAGGGCCAAGGGAACACTGATTCACAGTTCAGTTTCCAGAGTCAGAGAAAGAGACATGAAAAGATAAGTCATACATCCTTCCAGTGGCAAATGTTTTATATAATTGTCTTTATTCCTCACATCCACCCCCATCCCCAACATTCAGATGATCTCTGACGTTTATCTCCTTTTATTTTTCGACATGATTTTTTAAGTTATTTCACCAAATTTACAAAAATATTCTGCTGGTATTTAGGGATAAATGTACTATCTGATTGAAAATATAATTGATCTTTTTTTCTAGGTGCACCTGCCTGAGATATCTACTTTTTATTTACTCTTTTATGTAGAAGTTTTATAGTTTCCACTTGCAGGTATTATTAACTTGAATGAAGATGATATTTAAATCTTTTTCTATGCCTGGACACCTTTATTAGTGAAATTTCTAGATAATTCTTATCATCCAGATTTCCTATTATTTGAGTTTTCTTGGTGGTACATAAGCTGTCGGAAATAATATTTATTCTCTTGAAGTTACTAGTTATAGCTTGATGTGGTGGCTCTTGCTAGCTATCTCAGCTACTTGGGAGGCTGAGGCAGGATGCTCACTGGAGACCAGGAATTCAAGACCAGCTAAGGAAAAACAGCTAGACGCTGTCTCCAAAAAAACAATTGTTTTTCAAATTAGCCCAGAGTAGTGGCACACACCTATAGTCCAAGCTACTCAGGAGGCTGAGGCAGGAAGATTGTTTGACCTCAGGAGTTGAGTGACCTGTTGAAGCTGCAGTGACCTATTATTGCACCACTGCACTCCAGTGTAGACAACAGAGTAAGACTCTATCTCTAAATATAAATAAATAAGTAATTTTATTTCATTTTCACATAAAAATACCCAGTACAGCATTACATATGGTAACAATGGGCACGTTTATTTTTATCTTGCTTTTAAGAGGAATTTCTCTAGTGCTTTACTATTACAGGTAACGGTCATTTTTTGATCTATATTCTTTTCATCGTATTTAAGAAATTACTCTTCTTGTCTTATTTTAAAGATATTTATTTTGAAATAGTTCTTCAGTATTCATCAATATCACAAAACATTTAATGTGATAATGATGTGTATTATATTAATATTTTTTTATTTTCCGGTAGCCTTGCCTTGCATAAATAATAATTAAGTATTAACAGAGTAATACATGAAAGATGCTATTCTAAGTCTTTCACAAATATTACCTCATTTGATCCTCTCTTCAAACCTAAGAGGGAGGTATTATTAATATCCATTGTAAAGATAAATTACAGGCCAAACACATTGACTCATACCTGTAATCTCAGTGCTGTGGGAAGATTTTTTGAGGTCAGAAATTCCAGACCAAACTCGACAACATAGCAAGACCCTCATCTCTACAAAAAGTTCAAAAGAATAGCCAGGCATGGTGGCACTGCCTGTAGTCCCAGATACTCACCAGACTGAGGTGGGAGGATCACTTGAGCCTAGGAGTTTGAGATTACAGTGGGCTGTGACTGGGTCACAGCACTCCAACCTGGGTAGTTGAGGGAGAACCCATCTCTGAAAAATAAAAATAATAAATAAATAAAAATAAGTTACCTGAGACTTGTGAAGTTAAGTATTTGTCTATTTGTCGATTTGACAAAGAGAAGAGTCGAACCCAGGCACTTTCAGTGAAGAACCTGAACTTTTCCCCACAATTCCATACTGATTCCTCAGTCCTCATCGACGCTTTATGCCATGTAATTCTTTTGAACTCTGGCATTTTATGTGCTAACATATTATTGACATTTTAACATACATGTCTACATGAAGAAAAAATAGCAGTCTGTCATTTTCTTTAATAGAATTGGTGGTCCAACAGAATCATGTTTTAAGTGTGTAATATTCTTTAAAAGTTTGTAAAAATATTCACTATGAACACAACAGAATCAGATGCTTTGGAGGAGCTAGGGTCTTTGATGATCTTCTTTCATTGCCTTCCCCGTTTATTGACCTATTTATGTTCTTTATGGACTTTACTTTTCCAAAGCAATTTCAGGTCTGCTTATTTCATTTGATCTAAAGCACATTGTATTAAAATCGATTATATCATCCCCAAATTGAAGACTAAGAATTAAAGGCCATAAGAGGCAATGTCCTTAAAGGTGCATTCTTACTTGGTAGTGCAACTAGTATGTCCATACTCTCAGGTGAAAGGTCGCTGGACTGAGCTCTGCCAACCCTAATGACAGTCCTATGGAGGGACCCTGTGTCCTTTGCATATCTCACGACTCACATACCTTGGGAGAAAGAAAACAAGGATGGATGCTGATCATAAACATGCCCTGAGCAAAGGCAAGACAGACAGACTCTGGGTCTCATTTTGAGTTCTGGCATGGGCACTCTGATCTCTTTATATCATGCCACTGAATGACCCTCTACACCAGGCATCCTCAAACTATGGCCCGTGGGGCTGAGGACATTTATCCAGCCCGCTGGGTGTTTTTGCTGCCGCTGCCTGTCCTTTTAAACTATAGTCCGGCCCTCCAACAGTCTGAGGGACATGGAACTGGCCCCTTGTTTAAAAAGTTTGAGGACCCCTGCTCTACACAATGAGATAACACTTATTCCACCCCACCCCATGTCCTGTGGGTGTGTGAGGTGGGGCAGGGTTGGGGGAGTAACAATCCCATAGATGGGCCAGCAGAATACTTGAGATCACCTTCAAAGCCAAGAACACACATGTTCTCCCAAAATCTCATGACTTTCCAACTGGTTAAAATGAGTATCACTATCCTCCATCTGTCATCTTATATGCATCATGCACTTTAAACTGTCAGACCTTTTACACTAACCATCTGCCCAGTGACAGATGACTCATATAAGGCTCAGTGTCTATTGGTTCTTTTCTCAAATTCTGTCCAGTCCCAAGACTACAGGAGACTACTTTGGTTCATGATCTCCAATATTTCAGACAGGAGCTCCATTTAGTGACTCCTTCTTTTCTTGATTGCAACTCTCTCCGTGTTTCCATCCTTTTCAGGCTCCATGTTGGTCCTGCAGGTGCCCAAGACCCCCCAGGCAGCAACTCTGATGGTGTTACTGATGGTACTGCACAACCCTGTGGTCCAGGGCAGGGCCACTCCAGGTAAGAGCAGAGTGGTTATTCCTGGGGTTCTGTCTCCAGGGGAAAATATCTGGGAGATTTTCGCTTTAAGGGACCAGACACTAAGATAGGCCAGTGTCCTTCCTGCCTAGCTAGAAAAGCAGACTCACCCCTATAGGACAGTTACTGTCCAGCAGGCCATTCTCTCTCCCAGAGACACAGGTTCTGTGAGCTGAGAAGAGGAGCAAAGTGGTTGGTGTATTGTTGTGGAAAATGGGGCCAAGAGGTCAGAAGTAACATTGGAGGGACAAGGTTTCCAGAGAGCACGTATTATTTTTCCAACTTCCCTAGAACTTCGTTAGAGTGTTAGTGTGGATTGGAACTTGTAGGAAGGAGAAAAGGATGTGTAGTCTGTGAAAGGGGTTGAGTATAGATTATCACACAGCCAAGGAGAAAGAAAAAAGAGAAGAACCGCTTCCTCATGTTACCCCCTCTGGCTGGTGTAAGATTCTGGCTTCCACAATCCTGTTGTTCTCTAGATGCTTAACTTTCTAGTCCAAAGAAGTAGGTGTCTTAGTTTTCCACGTTTCCTGCAGAGATCCTCCCTCCTTTAGACCCCTTCACAGCCCTCCTGGGATAGATATGGAGGCACTGTCCTCATTTCATTTCCCCATTTTCCAGGGACAACAATATTTAAATCTCCTGAGTACAGCCATCAATCCCCAAGGCCCCTTGCATATTACCTTAGGTCCATCGGCTGAGAAGGGAGAGAACTCACACTTGTACTCACAGAGGAGTGCTGAGAACTAACTAGCAGGAGGCTCAACTGTGGGAACAGAGCCTTCAAAATCCTAGACATTGAAGGGGGCTGTGTCTGGGAAGGGAAGAGACTTGAGCAGTGGTTGATGACACTAAATAGTGTCTAATGGGAGGTAAGGGGAGGCAGTGCCAGCATCCCATAGGAAGGGACAGTCTGAGGGATAAGGGGCAGTGTTGGGGACAGTCTGAGGAATAAGGCACAGAAACCCAGAGGCAGGGCAAACACAGAGCAGGGGCGTGCATGTGATGTGGGATGTGAATAGGTGGAGGGGCAAAGGGTGGTTCAAGATTTGTAGAAAGGATAAGATGAGGATGTGCAGGCATCTGACAGGGGCTGAGGGTGGGTGGCCAGAGCACCCTGCATAGGGCAGTGTGGGTAGAGTGGGCAAGGCAGGTTCCACACTTCCCTTCCTACTCCACACAGATCCCCAACCTCAGACAGGGCAGGAGAGAAAAGGCCTGAGGAACCAGGCTCTGGCCTGCAGGCGTTGGAGGAGCCCAGGGAGCAGTAGGAGATGTAGCAGATGGGCTGGAAGAAACCAGAGTCATGGTGGAGACTTCCTTTGGTTTATCACAGGATTTTCAGGGCTGAGTTTGCCCCATCTCCACACCCATTACCCCAGGCTTTAGGGCCACACTCCCAAGTCTTCCTGTCACACCAGCTGACAGGAAGAAGATCCTTGTGCATCTGAGTCTTCATGTAATTACTCTTCTGTCATTTTTATCCTCCAAGTAAAATTGCTAAGACAACAGAGAAGGGAGAAAATGCAGTCAGCAAAGAGTCAAAAAAGCTTTTCAACTCTTAAGGTCTGCTCTACCTGGCAACTCTCCTTGAGAATTTCCAGTAGCCCATGAGCTGAACTAGTTCCTCCCTCCTTTACACATGCATATTGAAAGACATCACACATTGTAAAGGGGCATGTATTGAGCAGTGCCAGATGCAATGCTACGTATTTTATGTATATTAATTCATTTAATTCTCACAACAGTTTTACAAGGTAAATAGCGTTACCATTACTACTTCACTTTTCAAGAAATGGAGACAAGACAATTATTACAAGATAATTTCTTGTCCAAGATCACATAGTTACAAGTTGTAGCACAGGTATGGAATCCATACCTATAACATGTTCTTTTTCTTTCTTTCTTTATTTTTTTGGGGGAGGGGACAGAGTCTCACTTTGTTGTTGCCCTCAGTAGAATGCTGTGGTGTCACAGCTCACAGCAACCTCAAACTCTCAGGCTTAAGCGATTCTCTTGCCTCAGCCTCCTAAGTAGCTGAGACTACAGATGCCCACCACAACGCCCAGCTATTTTTTTTGAGACAAGGTCTTGCTCTTGCTCAGGCTGGTCTCGAACCTGTGAGCTCAGGCAATCCACCTGTCTCAGCCTCCCAGGTGCTGGAACACATTATCACATTGCATCCATCATGTCCTCCTGCAATTTTTAAAAATATTTTTTCTTCTGAATGACAGATGAGTTCATATCAATGGTTTTCAAACTATGCTTTGTGTAATTCAACTATCAAGAATTCCTAGCAGCGCCTGTGGCTCAAGGTGTAGGGTGCCCGCCCCATATACCGGAGATGGTGGGTTCAAACCTGGCCCTGACCAATAACTGAAAAAAAAAAAGAAGAAGAAGAATTCCATAAAAGCGGCTCAGTGCCTGTAGCTCAGCAGCTAGAGCACCAGCCACATATACCAGAGCTGGCAGGTTTGAACCCAGCCCAGGGCCTGCCAAACAACAATGACAACTACAACCAAAAAATCACTGGGTATCGTGGCAGGCACCTGTAGTCCCAGCTGGTTAGGAGGCTGAGGAAAGAGAATCAGGTAAGTCTAAGAGTTTGAGGTTGCTGTGAGCTGTGATGTCATGGCACTCTACTGAGGGTGACACAGTGAGACTCTGTCTCAAAAAAGAGTTCTCAAACACAAAGAAATGGCGGTTTCAAATTACACAATAAAAACACTCATCACTTATGTCTGCTTTGCAGATAACTTTTCCATTAAAGAAGTTAAATATTGCCAAAAATAATATTATTCTTGACAGACAGATGTTCTCTTACTGATAAAGGAGGAAGAGGAACGAGAACTGGGGTTTAAAAATCACAGGAAACACCTTCTGAGTGGGGAAGTTGAATAGTAAGGGCAGAGGAGAAGGAATCTGGACTGAAGGGGCTGGAGTGACGGACCCGAGAGTGTCAGAGCCTGGGGCCCAAGTCCCCAGAAGAGGAGGCAGGTCAGGGTACCTGAGTCAAAGACCTGGGATCTTGCCTTAGCAATGACACTGTAGGCCTCGTGAAGACTATGGTGCCCCTGAGGCTAGACACATCCCTTCTCCACTGTCCTCTGCTATTTGTAGTGCAGCTTCAGGTGAGGAGTGAGGTAGGACAGAACTCCCCTGATGAACTCATGTTTTTCAGACCATTACCATAGTGACAGAGTAGCAGGAACCCTGAAACCCTTCTTACTGCTAGAAATCTCAGGCCGATTTTCTTCTATCCTCAGGAAGGCTCCCCAGTATTTGAAGCTAAAGCAAGCAGTACGTCTTCATCTAGGGTTGGGAGCTTCTCATCTTAGACTTTCACCTTTCCCACTTCCTCTTAGTCTCTCCCTGACAGGGTGAAGAACAGGTGAGCATCCTATTTAAGAACTCCTGTGTCCCCCAGCACACTTAAATGTTAAATGTGGTCTCAGTGTATCTAGACTTAAATACTCAGTGTATCTAGATTTAAATTTCAGATATTCTGTTTAATAACTCAAAGACTACTGTTTTAAAAATATGCCTTGTAGGGGCTGGGCATGGTGACTCATACTTGTAATCCTGACACTCTGGAAGGCTGAGGCAGGTGGATTGCCTGAGCTCAGGAGTTGGAGACCAGCCTAAGCAAGAGGGGGACCCTGCCTCTACTAAAAACAGAAAAACTAGCTGGGCATTGTGGCAGGCATCTGTAGTTCCAGTTGCTCAGGAGGCTGAGGCAAGGGTATTGCCTAAGTCCAAGAATATAGAGATTGCGTGAGCTATGACACCACAGCACTCTACCCAGGGTGACAGAGGGAGACTCTGTCTCAAAAACAAAACAAAAAACACTCCTCATAAACTTTTTGGAGTTCCTTCTTATATTCCAAGCAGAGCATTCATTTTATTTATTAGTTCATTTGTTCACTGATATGAAAATTTTTTCTCAGAACTACGTTAGATACTGGACATAAAAAGAAGGCAGCAACATCTTGCCTTGAGATGTTAATTCATGGAGGATGAAACCAATACGCAAAGCAATCACACCACTTTGCTTTCCCCTGTGTAACCAGGACCACGGCAGGCCTAAGCAAACAGAAATGTGCTGGCTCCCTGCTACTCCTGTGCAGATGTGCACCTGCCCGGCACTGCTGGTGGGATCCCTGGGCAGAGCAGCACGTGGTAGAGGCTGCCACATTACTCTGTATAAAAGTACACCATCCATGTCACTAAACGTGAAAGAGTCCACCCTCACTGGTCTCTGGTTGTGATTTTTGTTGATTGAGATACTTCCCATACCTTTTGAGATCAATTCTTTCTATAGCCACGTTTGAAAAGTGAAAAGATAGATACATTAACTCTTGGGCTAGAAAGCCTTGCTTACACTAAACTTTAAGAAAGTTTCAAGAAATTTATTTCTACGTCTCCAGTGTGCAAAACAAGAACAAGTTGAGGTCTATTCAAGATATTGGCAGGGAAAAGAGCACCCAGCTGTGGAAAAGAGAGGGGGGAAAAATAAGGGAAGTCTTGCTGGTGGAGGTGACACTTGAGCCCAATTGTCACCAGGATGGGAACTTCAGGCAGGTGTGAGGCAGAGAGAACAGCAGCTGCCCTCTGAGTCCCCAGCTCCTCCCCCCCTGCCGTGCTCTGAATGGGGGGCCTTCCGCTCTGGTGCGATTCTGCCCCTCCTGCCACCCTCAAGAAGTGTCTCTCCTCTTCTCCAGGTGCCACCAGAAGTGACCACTTTCTCCTCACTATCCCCACCCCTCTCTAATGACACTGAATCACCCCTGGCCAGTGAGTTAGTTGAAACTCAACAAATCCTCTCACTTCACGGAGGGGAATACAGAGGCCTAGAAGGTTCTGTGGCCCACCTAAAATGGCATAACTCCATATTGGAAAAATAGTACTGTAAAATACCAAAATCCCATTGTGAGTAGGGGGATCTGGGGAGAATAGTTACCACTGAGAGAGAGGTGGGACCGTGGTCCCGCTCACCGCCCTGCTCCCCCAGAGAACTACGTGTTACAGTCGCGAGATGACTGCTACGCGTTTAACGGGACGCAGCGCTATGTGGAGACCTACGCCTACAACCGGGAGGAGTACGTGCGCTTCGACAGCGACGTGGGGGAGTACCGGGCGGTGACCGAGCTGGGGCGGCGGAGCGCCGAGTACTGGAACAGCCAGAAGGACATCCTAGAGGACGCGCGGGCCACAGCGGACAGGATGTGCAGATACAACTATGAGCTGGACGAGGACGTCACCCTGAAGCGCCAAGGTGAGCGCCGCAGGCCGGGACTCTGAGGGAGCGGCGGGGCCCAAGGAGCAGACAGCAGGGGCAGCCAGGCCGGCCTCGGGGGCCAAGGAGAGGGGCAGGCGGGGGCGTTGAGGGCTGGAGATTGAATGGGGCGCAGAGCCAGACCAGAGACTTGTCCCGGGAGCCGGGCCTGAGGTGGGCCGAGCTGGGGATGAGGGAGGTTGGAGGCAGACAGACCCTCAGGCCTGGCCACCCACGGGGTGTGGGCTGAGGGGAATCCAGGGGCAGGGTCAGGAGCAGGGCTGTCGTGTGGAGGGGGAGACGGTACCTCGGGCCCAGCAGGCCCTGCAGGGAAGAGACTTGGTGAAGTAAAAGGGGTTTGCAGTGTCTGTGGGGACCTGGCACAGCCTGACAGACAGTACAGAGAAGGGTGTGCAGCGGGGTAGGTGGCCTGGGCCCCTTGACACCCTCTGAGGAGAGGGGATCCTGGGGAACAGGGCAAAGGACTGGACCCTGGGGCTGGATGCTGGTGATGTTGACACAGAGAGAAACGCCTGTGAAGGAGAGAAGGAAGCAGGAAAGCAGGTGTGAGGAGTCTCAGGGGCAGGGAAGGTGACCTCAGAAGCACAGGGGACAGTGGTGCCATGACTTAGGGAGGCCAAGCACACAGAAGTTGGAACAAGTGTTTGGAAACCAGGGAAACTTGGAGAAAGCAGGCCGGTTCCAGCAGGAGAGCTGAGAACAGTGGAGGGGTAGGTAAGGGTGGGTGTGGAGCCCCAGTCCCCTGGGCTGGAATGGCAGTTTATTTGTTCTGGATTCAGCACCACTGGTCCAGAGTACTGTCTGAGCTGAAGTGCACTATTCCTTCAGGAAGTCTGAATGTAAAGGGAGGAAGAGAGGGGAGGTGTGTGCAGAGTCAGGAGGACGTTTCAAGGATGGGAGAGAAGAGGGTGGGGGAGCCTGGGGCCCTGCCCTGAGGAGACCTGAGGAAATAGCACGGTGGTGTGGGGGTGAGACAAGGACAAAACAAGGGCCATGCTGACAGAAAAAGGAAAGAATGAAGGAGGGCACAGGGAGGGGATAGTGAGGTCACGCCTTTGGTTCTCTTTTCCAGGGGAAGGGGAAAACAAGGTCATCTGTTAAAAGTGAGATGGTGGACATGTTGGGTGGGGATTAGGAGAGGGATGTGAGTTAGGGAAGTCACTGAAGTAATTAGTGGAGAGAAGTGTCCAAAGAAAAGTTGTGCAGACTAGGCTCAGTGGCTCATGCCTGTAATTCTAGCATTTTGGTAGGCTGAGGCAGGAGGATCCCTTGAAACCAGGAGTTTGAGAACAGCCTAGGCAACATAGAAAGACCCCATTTCTACCAAAAAAATGTTTTTAATTAGCCAGGCATAGTGGAACCTGCTTATAGTTGCAGAAAGCCCAGGATACCAGCCTCAGGAGTTGGAGTTTATCTTCTAGGCCAGCAGGTCCCCAACCAAACTGTTCCAAAGGCTCTCCTAGAGATTTTAATTGCCTAGAGATTCAGATTCTGTGGATGGTAAGATCTAGAAATCTGTATTTTTTTAATTGTAATTTTTATTGGAAAACAAATATACAACTTGGAACAGATTTGGGCCAAATTATACCATAAGCATATTTTTCTTTAAGTTGCTAAACAAAGTTTAAAAACAAGTAATAATAAAAGAAAATGCTTCTGGTACAGAACCAGCAGGACAAAAAATTAATGTACAAGTACTAGATAAACACCTGTTTTGCAGTAGTGTAACTTTTAAGTACATATTATTGTCTATCCATAGTCCATTCAGAGTTACAACTGCACACTTCAATAACATGCTGATGGTTCCTAAAGAAAACTACTTTAAGAAAAGTCATAACCTGGCTGTCCCCTCATCTGCCTGACTCCATCTAAGTTTAGATGTACAGAACGGCTTAGATATATCCAGAGTAAGCCACGTGCAATATGTTACTTGATCAATTTTCTAAAATAAGGTTTCAGGACAACAAGAGTAAGATAAGGATAAGGGAAGAAAACATGGACGAATGAAGCCCTAGTTACTACCCAGGCATATATTTTTGACAGTAATGAGAAACCTTTTACAGATAAAAAATAAAGGAACTTTTTACAGCTAAGTTACAAAGAAAAGGCAAATAAACAATTTTGTACAAGAAATTTAACACATTTTGTACAATGTCTTCACTTTTCATCATTTGTACAAACTCTTCATAGTTTCCTTGACCATCACCACTAATATCTGCCTCCTTAATCATTTCATCACCCTCCTCTGTTAACTTCTCTCCAAGGTTTGTCATCACATGGTGAAGCTCTGCTGTGCTAATATAGCCATTGCCATCCTTACCAAACACACGGAATGCGTCTCTAACTTTTTCTTCACTGTCTGTGTCTTTCGTTTTTCTTGCCATCATTGTCAGAAATTCAGGGAAGTCAATCATGCCATTACCATCAGCATCTACTTCATTAATTGTGTCCTATAACTCTGCTTCTGTGCGATTCTGCCTAAGAGACCTCATTACAGTTCTCAATTCCATTGTTGTTGTAGTTCTATTACCATCCTTGTCATATAGTGAAAAAGCTTCTTTGAATTCTGGAGTCCCAGTATAAAGATAAGAAGCATCACTGCAGATGATACCTGGAGATATCTTACTAGTTTCTTAACTCTCTTATAAAAATAAGATTTCTCCACTGTAGCCTACTTGTCTGTGTGTTTGTCCCTGCAATCTACTCTTCATTCAGTTGGTCAGCCATACGGCAAGCACTACTGGGTTCTGATTCGCCACCACATAACCACTCACTTTGCTCGCTCCACTCAGACTCAAAATCTATGTTCTCACCACTCTCTGGTGATTCCTATGTAGCCTGATGTGTATTATCTGGGCTCTTAAGGTTTTTTTAAATGAAATGACAAGATTTGAGCTGTGTTTTCATAAGAGTATGAAGTGGGTTGGAGAGAGGATGGGCTAGAGTTTCCAAGATCAGAAATAAGGTAGAAAACTGCTTTTACTGTCCAGGGAAATAATAATGAGGGTGTGAAATAGAATATGGAAAACACAGGGCCAAGGAGAAAAGTGAAGTGGGGAGGGTGGGAGGATGGTGATACCAGTGTGGATGCCTAACTAAACCTAGAATTGAACAAATGTATTCTGGGCATTAGATGAGGCAACTTATAAACAGGAGTCCTTGCCATTGTGAAATTTATTTGAACTGGGTCAGAAATGAGAAAATTTGGTATTGAGTCTGAGATCCAGCGCCCCCATAATGGAGTCTCTTACGTACTCCAGGATGCCTAGCACCTGTCAGTATTGATCAAAGTACCTCTTATGGAATGTTCTGGGACCTTAAAATAGACACCCAAGTATATCCTGATTTTTGTGTGGGGGGTGTCAAATTATCCTTTGTTGAAATATTTTCCTTTGCCTTTTAAATTTTTTTAATTTAATCTAATTTAAAAAAATTTTTGAGACAGATTCTCAATATGTCACCTTCAGTAGAGTGCCATGGCATCACAGCTCATGGCAACCTCAAACTCTTGGGTTCAAGTGATACTCTTGCCTCAGCCTCCCGAGTAGCTGGGACTACAGGCACCCACCACAACACCCGGCTATTTTGTTGTTGTTATTGTTGCAGTTGTCTTTGTTGTTTAGCAGGCCCAGGCCAGGTTCGAACCCCGCCAGCCTCAGTGTATGTGGCCAATGCCCGAACCATTGAGCTATGGGTGTCAAGCCCTTTGCTTTTTTCAAAAGCATTCCAGTTTTATGGAATGAAAAAACATCTATGTGGTGGACATTCCACTATACCACATAGATGTTATCGATGATGTCATGAGGGTGGTGGCTATCAACATAGCAGCCCACAAACTAGGCAGTCCACGGGAGTTCTTTAGTGGTTCCAGAGGGTTCTCTTTAGATAGGTACCACAACTGTCTGGTAATGTTAACAATCTCATCAAAAGTGATATTTCCATTGTGCTTAATGTTTTTCTGTTTCTTTTTATCTTTTGGTGTTATTGAGGGTTTTGATGATCAGGGCAGGGGCAAAAGGAACCACTTCAATCTGGGCCTGTCTGTTCTGAATCCTCATTTTCACTATACTCCTCAGATCCTTCCAGTCACAAGTTGCCTTGGTGATATCATCACTGACCTGGGGAGTGGGGTGGGAGATCTTGGGGGCCAAGGCAGACATGGCACCTACTTCACCACTGGTGCACCTCAGGTAGGCAACTTTGATCTCGTTGGAGTCAAACTTCTGCATGGTGGAGGCAGCTAGTATAGAATAAACCCAGATTCAAGACAAACAAAGAAAGTTGCATATTAGCCTCCTTATACCCAAAGCCAAAAGCTACCACTTGATTGTTATGGTGCCCTATGGAGAAGAAATTAAATATAATCCACATTGGGATACAGACATGTGTTGAATAGTCTGAAGAACTTTGAGTTTATAGAGGTGACTGAAGTAGAGCGAAAACACAAGGTGCCTCTAAAGTAAAATCACACTGAGTGAAAAAGACTGACAATTTGGATAACTCTGAACAAAAAGCAAAACTATCATAAGGAGGAAACATTGTGGGTTAGTTCAAGACTGTTATTTTTGGCCTGGTGCCTGTAGCTCAGCAACTAGGGCGCCAGCCACATACACCAGAACTGGCAGGTCCAAACCCAGCCTGGGCCTGCCAAATAACAGTGACAATTACAACCAAAAAAAAATAGCCGGGCATTGTGGCAGGTGCCTGTAGGCCCAGCTACTTAGAAGGCTGAGGCAAGAGTATCACTCGGACCCAGGATGATTTTGAGGTTGCTAAGAGCTGTGATGCCACAGCACTCTACTGAGGGCAACATAGTAAGACTCTGTCTCAAAAAAAAAAAAAAAAGACTGTATTTTCACTTGGCCCAAACCCACCTTAGGGTATTTGTGTTTTCTGTGAAATAGAAAGCAGAAAGGAAAGAACTCAGTGATTAAAGACCTAGAAGCTGTGGTTAGGGAAACTCCACAGGATGGAGTATTCTCTTGGGCAGTTGGATCTTTTCTGCCTTCTGCAGAGGAAGAGAGTAGTGGAGGCAGAGGTCCAAAGAAAAACTGCTGGTGGCAGCATGGAAATCCACCCACGAGCCTCCGAGGAAAGAGGAGGGGTCAATACATACAAAGCTGCAGAGGTGCAGGCAATGCATGATCATCTGTGATGCCCCCCCAACCTGAAAGATGTTCCACAAAGGAGGAGCTTAGAAAAGGATGGGATTTCCACTAAGCAGCCAGGTAGCAGCTCAAAACACTGGATTTGAGGATAGTATGTAAATATGACATTCTGAGATTTTGTAGGGGAGGCCAGAAAATACATAGATTTTTGCAGGATAAGTAATGTTAAGCTTGCTTCATTTTCTTTATATTTTTACGAAATAAAGTTATTGCATTCATAGACTAGGAAAATGCTGTTATCTCTATATCTTAATTTCAAGCAATTATTTCAGCAAATTTTTCCTCCTTTGCATCAGATACAACATTGAAAGAGTGGCTTCACAACTAATTAAATATTCTTTGTCCAAAGACTGTTAACCAATTGCTTACAGTTAAAATTTCTTCTAAATTGGCTACAAAGTGCTGCCTTTATCTCTCTCCTAATCTTCGCATTACTTATTATTTTTTTAAGACTGCATCTTCTATTTGAAGGTTTATTTCAATCATTTCACACCGTCCTATCCTCTAGCCTAATCACATCATTCATATTTTAAGCATCTAGCAATCAATTCTATAATGAACATTTCTAAGATATAATAATAATCTCAAATGCTATTTCTGGTTTTCTCCTCCTAGTCCAACCTAAAGTGAATGTCTCCCCCTCCAAGAAGGGGCCCCTGCAGCACCACAACCTGCTTGTCTGCCACGTGACAGATTTCTATCCAGGCAGCATCCAAGTCCGATGGTTCCTCAATGGACAGGAGGAAACAGCTGGGGTGGTGTCCACGGACCTGATTCATAATGGAGACTGGACCTTCCAGATCCTGGTGATGCTGGAAATGACCCCCCAGCAGGGTGATGTCTACACTTGCCAAGTGGAGCACCCCAGCCTGGACAGTCCTGTCTCTGTGGAGTGGAGTGAGTTGTTCCTCTATGACTCATCTAGACACACACCCCCCCCATCCTAAGGAGCAGGGGAGTCTCTGGCTCTGGGCCCCACCCATCTTGGCTATGTGCCTTTGCCCTGCAGCCATATCTACCCCAGCAGTCTTCTGTACAACCTCCAGAGTATAGTTTTAAGCTGGGGGGGCAATGGAAACTCCCTGGCCTGGGAGGTCTTAAAGATTCATAGTTCTCCCTTGTCAGAGAATCTAAGAAATTGGATACCTTCCTGAATTTCCCTCATCCATGGAACTGTTCCTCTCCTTCCGCATTTTACCCTATTCCTGGTTACTTTAAGAGATAAATGGCAGAATCTTCATCTGTCCCCTGTTGAGGTCACACCCCAAACTCCAGAACTGAAGGGGTGGGTCTCTCTAAATTTCCTCTTTATCCAAGGTATATTCCATTACTGTTTTCCCACTGATATTCAGGCTCCAGGTCTCAGACAGGACCTGAGCAGGGGTGCAGCAGGTGGAGGGGAGACTGACCAGGGTCTCTCTTCCCAGAGGCACAGTCTGATTCTGCCCGGAGCAAGACACTGACCGGAGCCGGGGCCTTTGTGCTGGGGCTCATCACTTTCGGAGTGGGGCTCTTCCTGCACAGGAGGAGCAAGAAAGGTAAGAAAGCCTGTGAGGTGCCTGAGACCTGCCTTCCCCTGACTTGCCCATCTCCCAGGCTAAGGGGCCGAGACAGAAAAGCAATGGCAGAGAGTTCTCCAGGCTGCTGAAATAAGACATTTGTGGAACAGAGATGGCCTGTAGGAGAGAGGAACCCCAAGCTAGGATCTTAACAACCAGACCTCAAGCTCTCAGTTACTCCAGCTCCTCAGGGCATCTATTGAGTGATAGGCAATTGAGATGAGATGCCAAAGTCTCTAATTGTCTCGGTTGGTTTTAATGGCTCAATAATTCCCTTTCCTTCTTTCATTTCAGTTCAGCGAGGATCTCTATAAACAGGTAAAATTCCTGCTTCAATTTTCTTGAGGGGATGGGTTGCAGTAGGATGTAAGTCCTTTCTCGGCATTGAGATGCTAAGATACCTCCAGGGAAGAGAGTCTTGGCCCTGACTGTTTCTTTCAGCATCAGCCCTGGGATGAGTGTGGGGAAGGAGCATGACTCTGCTCCACTGGTGAAGGAAGCCGAGAGAAACTCTGTTCTTTATCAGGCCAAGTCTCAGACTCTCACCACAATTTTTCTGTCCTGGGATTTAGGAAAAGAGATCAGCAACATGAATAATTTATTTTTCTTTTACCCCCCACAGGGTCCCTGATTAATCTGAGAAACGACATGTGCCTTGGAATGAGCATTTTTCTATTTCTTTAGTGCCAGAGGCTGGCTCTGGGATAGACCCCCAGCTTCCCAAGAGGAAGTTCCTGCCTAATAATTGCTCTGAAGCCTGTTTCTACAGTTCTGCTTTTCTACTCAATGCACGATGTATCTCATGGGACTTCCAACCAAGTTCCCTCTCCTTAGCTCCATAAACTTTTTCTTTAAATCATTGTTTGTTTTCTTTTAAGAATATATACCATGTCATCCCTACCATTGTTCTTGTCTACTGGTTTTGGTTAACAGTGGGGGTTATTTAGAAGGTCATAATCAAGAAGGAAAACAAATATGGAGATGTTTGAATATTGTGAAGGGAGGACCTGGGCATGGACCTTTTCTGAATTTACTGCATCTCAGTGGGCTGCCCCACAATCATGTTTGGTACCTTCATCCATTTGGTCTGGGACCATTATTCAGTGGTGAGCAGGCTGTGAATCTGGGTTACATGACCCATATTTACATTGCACTGACTAAACATATAATTTATTAAAAGCTTGGACCAAACATGGCTTTGTCTTTTGAATGAATCCAGTAGAAGACACTTATTCTCGGAGTCTCCACTCATCCGTCCAGCCAGACCTCCTGTCCTAATAATCCATACGATCTCATCCCTGTTATGAGAAGACCAAAGCAATATATGTAGGATAAAAAACACAGGTGTTTGTTTTACAATCCAAAATTATGGGTTTGGGGTTTCCTATTAAGTTATCTTTAAGTCAAGGTAGAGGACATGTTTGCTCTCAGCTTTCCTTTTGTGTAGAATGTAAATGCTCACCTCCTGGTGCACACGATGAGCGCTCAGCAGCTCCCTGACACAGCTGGTTGATGGAGTCCTCCCCTCCTGCTGCCCCCCCCCCCATCTTCTTACAAGCAGCTTCTGGGCCTTGTGTGCCCCTGGACATTTGCCCACCCTCCCCCCCCACTTAGTTCCTATGTGCTCCTGTCACCCAGCTCCCTTCTCAAATCCACCCTGCGTCTGGGAACCAACTTCTCCCATTTCCAGAAGAGATAGGACTGAAGGTATAGACATAGAAGTAAATAACAGCTGGAGTCTGCAGAAAGGATGGACTTACTAAGTCAGGGAGTCAGGGAAGAGAAGCCACAGCCAAGAACAATCAACCATGTCTCATATCTGCTAAGTGCTTCATTTAAACCTCTTAAAGTAGGGAATAGGACGTAGTTTTATTTTCTTTTTAAAATGTGGAAAGTGGGGCTTGTTGAGGTCCTGAGATCCCACAGCTATGACATTGAAGCCGTGCCACAAATATGGAAAATTTAGACCTGTTTCCAACACCCATGCTCTTTCCATTAGTCAACATTAGAGAAGCTATAGACTGCAGGCATCCTCAAACTACGGCCCACGGGCCACATGCAGCCTGCCCAGGACATTTATCCAGCCCACTGGGTGTTTTTTGCCACTGCTGCCTGTCCTTTTAAACTATAGTTTGGCCCTCCAGTGGTCTGAGGGACAGTGAACTGGCCCCCTATTTAAAAAGTTTGAGGACCCCTGCTATAGAGAGACATGGTCCTTGCCCAGTTAAAGTGTCCTTATCCCTATTTTGTGCAGTAATTCAGCTATCACTTAATGACATGAAGAGGACAGTGTAAATAAATGAGGACCCTTGATCTGTCTCATTTTCCCTTTTGGCTTTACACCCCACACATGAGAAACCCATGCAGCAAGAAATTAATATGATCATTATCCAGCCATTAAAAGACAGAAAGCAGTCATGAAAATTCTGGAAAGTCTTAAAATCTAAATCACTATTAAATTCTCAGTCCAAAGCATATAAATCCCATCCTCAGAGCCTCTAAGTACTGAATATTACAGACCATATCTAATCAACCATCCCCAACTATTGTGGCCCCGTACTCATGCTACAAGCTGGGGCGGTGCCCAGGGCAGAAAGAACATTCTCTGAACATAACTCAGATCAGAAACTGCGATGTCTGCACCCACATTACAGGTCCAGGATATGTGCTCCTGGGGAGCTGAGGGTACACGGAGATGGGGAAAGAGAGAAGGCATCAGACACATCCATCTCTGACAAACACGGGTATGTGTTGATGTCTGGGATTTCTCAAGAAGGACGCAGTGTAGGGTGAGGCCCCAGAGGAAACTGAGGCAGAGAGGCCATTCAGTGTGGGACCACCTTGTCATCATACTTCACATTTTTAATGTTTATTGAGTACTTTCTAAGTGCTGGGCCCTTTGCTGACTGCTAAATGCCGCAGCACCATAGACAGCCAGAGCTGGAGAGATCATGGGCACATTGGTCGCTGGTGTTGAGGAACAAAGATTCAAAGGTAAATCAGGATCAGAGCTTTAAAGTGGGCCTGAAGCTGGTGGCAGCTTCCCACTCAGAAAGCTTGTCAGCTGCACTACAGCAAACGCAGTGGGGTTAGGCCTCCCAGGTGGTGGTGTAGCCTTGTCCCTTTCCTGCTGGTCTCTTCATTTTACGTCCCTCACAGGCCTAAGGAGAGGTAGCACACAGCAGATGCTGCTGCCCCAGAAGGCCAGCAGTGAGAAGTCAGGGGAGACATTTCACCCTCTCTGACTCCCCTCCTGTGCACGTACTCTGAGCCTCAAGAAATAGGGAGGCCCAGCCATGAGATTGTGAAATTTGAAGGAACTAGGAATTGGCCACAAGATACGAAGATGCTCTTTTCTTTTTTCTTTTTATCCTTTGTTAAGAAGGAAATGTATCTCCCTCCATCACCCAGGCTGGAGTGCAATGGTAAGATCATAGCTCAGGGCAGCCTGACTTCCTGGGCTCAGCTTTCAGAAGCTCCTGAGATTACGGGATGAGTCACCACCCCCAGCCTGAAGCTGTGCTTTAAAGGGCTCCAATAGCCATTTAATACCAGGACAATGGTCACTCATCTTAGTTGATGCCTTTTGAACTCTACCACTATGAAGTATTTCCTCCTTCTTGAAATTTCTGCTCCTTTGGCTTATGTGATAAACCATTTGCCTAATTCTCCTCCCTCTTTGCTTTTCTGAAATCTCTTTGAGTATGTTCCCTTCTGTGCATTTTGTGTAGTAAGGGTAGGATAGGCGTGCTGGAGAATCAAATGCCCATATCTAGTTTTCGCTTATGTTATGTACCCAAAGCAAGTCAGCAAGGAAGCTCTGCTCATCATTTTACTTAGAGGACCAGACTGACAGACCTTCACCTCCACATCTGCTCCTGTAATATCCCCAGCAGCATGCAGGGAACCTAGGAAATTGACTCTTTATGATCCCTGGTAGACGGGACACACTTCTCTCATCTCATTGTCCAAGGCAAAGCACATGGCTACGTATAACTTCAAATAAGTTGTAATCTTGGAGGTAGAAAGCATTCAGTAAGTACATATTAAATAAGTAATAAAATACTTACACAAGAGACATTTATTGAGTACTTGGTATGTACCAGAACCTATGTTAGGCGTTATGGGTTAAAGGAGCTTCTTGCTCCTGAAAAGTTTGCAAACTCCCTGCTGGCTGGAGGGGGCTGTGGAATCAGCTGGTGAGACAGGGCAGTGTCCTCCAGGAGGTGCGGTAGAGGCAGTGCGGGGTGGGCACAGGAAAAGCTGTCTTGGAGAGTGAGACGGGTGGAATTTGGGATGAACATACTGGAAATCAGTGTTTGGGGCTCCTGGGGGTGAAGAGTGACAGAGTGGAGGGCGGAATAAGGTGAAGTGTGGAGGCTGCTAGGTCCAGATCCATAAAATGAACGAGGTGAGTGCTCTTGAGCATGTGAGAAACTCGGGCGGGGAGGGAGACAGAGGACCCAGAGCTCCCTACAGTTTAGGTGCTGAGGTGCTTGTGGCCCCGTGAAATGTGGAGCCAGGAACTGGGGTCAAACAGGTTCAACACTTTAATCCGTTTAGTCCTTATGCCTCCACCTCCTCAGGGTTTCCTCAACTTGCAACACAGAAAAAGAAAGAAGCAAGGTGGAGGGGAGGGGCAGGAGAATAGGGAAATGTTTCATCACATTTGGCTAAAAGGGCCAAAGTAAAGCTGCAGTTGTTGAGAAAACACTAGCTACTATCGGATGGGAAGAAAGCTGTGGCTAAAGGTAACATCATGGATGCCACAGGTCTGTAGTTCACAGTCTCTGGGAAAATCCACTGTCCTGACACTCAGCAAGCTGCTATTCATCACACCAGCGGGAGGCAGCAGGAGGAGCCTGAGGACTTACACTTTTGTTTACTCCTTTCTTTCCATTTCTCTTTCCCAAGGCAAAAAAAGGCAGAAAGAACTGTCAGCATTAACTTTTTTTTTTTTTTTGAGATGGAGCCTCAAGCTGTCCCCCTGGGTAAAGTGCCATGGCATCACAGCTCATAGCAACCTCCAACTCCTGGGCTCAAGCGAGTCTCCTGCCTCAGCCTCCCAAGTAGCTGGGACTACAGGTGCCCCCCCCCCCAACGCCTGACCATTTTTTTGGTTGCAGCCATCATTGTTGTTTGGCGGGTCCGGGCTGGGGATTCGAACCTGCCACCTTAGGTGTATGTGGCTGGCACCTTAGCCACTTGAGCCACAGGCGCTGAGCCATCAGCATTAACTTAAGGAAAGCTCCTTTTCAAGTATTTAAGCCTTGCCCCAAGGCAGCTCTATCCTTTGGCTATCTCTGTCACCAGGTGTCCTTACCCACCACAACCTGACAAGCAGAAGGACTCTAACCTCCACTGAGCAGAACTGGACACCATGCTTTACGGCAGGCGTCCTCAAACTATGGCCCGGCCTGCCAGCCACATGCAGCCAGCCTAGGACATTTATCTGGTCCACCAGATGTTTTGCCACTGCTGCCTGTCCTGCTTAGCAGCCAACTCATCCTGGGACCCGCAGTCCAGCCCTCCAGTGGTCTGAAGGACAGTGAACTGGCCCCCTGTTTAAAAAGTTTGAGGACCCCTGCTCTGGGGTTTATTCAGATCATCTTATTTCATTTTTCAGTAGTATCTCAAGTTAAAATATGTATGATAATATATAATAATAACAATGTTCCTTTTTATACATGGACAAGATGAGACTCTGAGGGGTTGCTGTACTTGCCCCAGGGCACACAGCCACTGACTAGTGGACATCTTTCGTGGCCTGCCCCACACCGCCTTCCTTACACCCTGTAGTGCTTACACACATCTTAACGTGACCTGTTCCAGAAAGAAGATGATTTATTTACACCAGTGGCTTTCATGTTCTATTCTAGAATGTTCAGGCAATTTTCAAGAGTTTCACATTCTGTAATATATTCATATCCACACAGAAAAACCAGTTTGAGGGACTCCTGTGTGAAATATATCTGCTTTGCAAATGCCTCTGAGGGAAAAAGACACTTGCTTTAAAAAGGAAAAATTCTAACCATTTTCATGGCCAACAGAAATGTGTCTTGAGCGAAACGCAGGTGGGAAAAACCTATTCACAGAACCAAAAGTGGAATTAGAGGTGAAGGAGTAGATCAGGGACGGCAGGGGAAGGCAATGTCCCAGAGACTCCAAACTGGGTGGGGCCAGGTTGGGGT